TTTTTTTTTTTTTTGGTTCCGGGGATTGAACTCGGGTCTTTGCGCTTGCAAGGCAGGCCACCAAACCACTGAGCTAAATCCCCGGCCCTCCAGTGGTATCTTAAATGGATAAAAGTACACTCAGACACAGTCCACCCTCCTGAGCCACAGTGCCCTTGTTTTCAAAGCTACATTCTATTAAAAAACAGGTGTATACATGTTCAGCCCCACAATGCAGAACAGTATAGGATGAAAACTAATCTGAGAGGTATTCCCAGCCATACCTTCCAAGGGCAGCCTCTTAAGCTTTCTACAGTATGTTCCCTTCTGGTGAGCATTTCCATGGGCCTACAAAATGACTATATTTCCATTTCTTGAATTCAGTTTTATCTACCCTATATGAATGATAGAGTTTTGGTTTACCCTTTGACTGTCTGCTCCTCAGGTCTTCATATTTGTTAAATTATTTTAATTTCCTTTATTGGTTATGTTTTTAAGTTTAATATAGCCTCTATTTTTTCATTCCATGTGGTAACTTTAAAAATTCTAGCTACATGCCCATACTTTTTTTCACTACGTGTAACACAAATCCTTAGAGATCAGAGCGTGTCTTATTCTAATTTACCCCAATGTGGGCCCTGTGAAAGACATTCAATAATACTGCATTGATTGTTGTAGACCTGATCAGAGGAAAGTTTGTTATTCATCCACGTACAAGTGGCTAAGTGTATGGCCCTTGGAGCCACACAACCTGTATTCAAATTCTGGCCACTTCTGTGTCATGTGAAACACATTGCTTTGCTTCTCTCCACCTATTATAGAATGAAGCTAATGGTAAACCTTAGTGATTCTCAGAAGTTAATGAGTTGCTGTATATAAAACACTTAAGTGCATGCACTTTTTTTTTTAATGTAATGATTGTTAACCAGGAGATGTATTACATGTAGAACCCTCAGAATACTCATCAGTCGGGCCTGCTTTATAGAAATTGCTTCGAAAAGCCTAGTGGGGGCCAAGTTATGTGTAGTTTGAGTAACATTCTAGGAAGCCTCATGCCCATGCCTAATTAAGATACTCTGCTTGAAATACCTGAGGGGAGGGATTCCAAAGAAATGGGAGATACTGTAAAACCATCATCCAGGAGCATGGGGACTCTTTCCTAGACAAAAAAACTTCAATTTCTGCCCCATTGCTCCGTACTTAAATCTCTTTCATGGACTGTAATTTTCCTCATCCATGTATGAACTCTGGCATTTCTCTGATCATTCTGAGACAGTAAAAGCCTTCTAGGTACCATTCATCTTACGAATAACTGTCCAATTTTATGTAGTAATGCAAACTCTGAAACTCATTTGAAGTTTGCCTATCTTTTTTACAGAAACAACTTTTGCCTTATTTGCTATTTCTCTTCTGTTTTGTTGATATCTTTTTATTTTCTCTTTTTTGCTTAGTTTGTATTTACATGGCAGTTATTCACCTAGCTTTTTTCCTCAACATTTTATTAGGAAAAGTTTCATAGAGAACAAGTAAACAAAAGTTTTAGATTGGAGATCCATATAATACCTCCACCTAGATTCAACAATGAACATTTCACTGTATTTATCTCCTACATGTCTTATCTACCAATTCCTGTGATTCCATCAATTCTCCCTAAGTTTTTTGCAGGGCATTTTAAAGTAATTTTCAAAGATTAGTACTCTTTACCCCTAATACCTCCATAGACTTATCATGAAGACGTCAGTCATAGTATTTTGTTTATCATTAGCACATATGAGGTATTTTGGCACCATGTATTCTTTGGTTATGTGTGTGGTAATATTGTAGCATAATTCCTTGTATGTGTTTTCTTTGTTCATTATATATATGCTGATGTTACTGTGTTGCTTTTTTAGAGCGAGCTTTATTGAGGTATACTGGACAGAGCATGAAGTTCACCTTTCCTAGGTTCATATAACCACAACCACAATCAAAATATTGAACATTTTCATCAGTCCTCAAACCTCTTTGTTTCTTTTTATAATTAAACATCTCTTTCATCCCAGGCATCATCTTTTTTCCTTCTACTTTAGTTTTTTCTCCAGTAGCATATAAATGAGTCATAAATGACTACTTTCACTTACTTTAATGCCTTTTAGGTTCATCCATATTGTGGCATGTATCAGCACTTTGTTCCCTTTTTGTCCCTTTTTGTGAGTAGTGTTCCAGTTTGTTTGTCAGTGGACCAGTTCAAGCACATTTGAATTGTTCCTGTTTTTGGTTATTTTGAATGAAGCTTGTACAGGTACTGTATTTGTATGGACCTATATTTTCATGTATTTTGGGTATTATCTAGACTGGGATTGCTTGGTTAAATTGTAAGCATATATTTAACTTTGTAAGACATTGCCAAAGTATCTTCCAATGTGACTGTACTGTTTTGTTTTCTCACCAACAGCACACCTTTATAGTATGGGTATAGAGGATTGCATTGTGATTCAGATTTGCATCTCTGTAGTAATTAGTGATGTTGAGTATGTTATCATGTGCTAATTTACCATCTATACTTTCTCTGTTTAATTATCTGTTGTGATCTTTGTTATTAAATTGTGGGAGTTCTTCATATATTCTCTTATAAGTCCTTAGCACCTGTGTGTTTTCCAATTATGTATTCCTGGGCTATGGCTTATTTTAAAATTCAAAAACCATGTTTCATTTTTTAATGAAATTCAGTTTATTCAGTTTTTCTTTTATGCTCATACATTTTGTGTCCTGTGTAGCATCTCTAACCAGGATAACAAAAACTTTTTTCATATTTTCTTCCAGGAGATCTATTTTAGTTCTTATAGACTTAAAATGAGTTATTTTTGTATCTGGTTTGAGGTAAGGATCAATATTCCTTTATGTTATTTTTTATATATGCATTTCCAATTGTTCCAGTAACATTTTTGAAAAGGCTATTTTTAATTTACTTTATAGTTCTTTTTAAAAATTGTTTGAACACATGTCAACCTGTATGGCAGTACCACATTGTCTTAATTACAGCCTTTATTAAGTGCTTAAATTGGGTATTAGGAGTCCTCTAACTTTTTTTTTTCATAATGTTTTAGCTATTTTAGGTCCTTGATATTTCTAATATATTTTAGAATCAGCTTTCCAACTTTTGCAAAAAAAACCTGTAAAGGATTTTGTTTGAGATTGCCTCACTGATATGCTAACAATATTGAGTCTTCTAATTCATAAATTTGGTATATCTCTCCATTTAGGTCTTTTAAATTTTATCTCAGTAATATCTTGCAGTTTTGAATGGACAGATCTTACAATATTTTAATCTACCTGTTTTATGTTCTTATAAAATAATATAAATTGTGTATACACGTATATTTGTTTTATATTTTAGTTTCACATTGATTAATTCAACAATAGATTAATTCAATATTTTTGGATATATAATTGATTTTTCTATGTTGCTTTTATATTCTGGGACCTATCATATCTTACATATTAGTACTAGTAGCTCTTTTATAGATGGCTTGCCATTTTATACACGAATAGTCATGTAGTTGTGAATAAGAACAGTTTCTTTTTTCTTTCCAATCTGGATGACCTTGCTTCTTTTTCTTGCCCTATTTTACTTCTAGTATCTTCAATATAATGTTGACAAGGAGTAGCAAAGACAACATTATTTGTTTTGATCCTAATCTTAGGATAAAAGCATTTACTTTCTTACCATTGAGAAAATTTTACTTGTAGGTTTTTTTCATAGATGGCCTGTTAAAGGTTGAGGATATTTCCTTCTAATCCTGGCTTTTGGAGAGTTTATCATGAATGAATGTTGCACATGTATTTTATGGATCAATTGATATGATTGTGTCTTTTCTCCTTTAAACTACTGCATTTTATGTAATTATTGATATTGGATTTCAGCCTATCAGTATTTCTGTTTGTTCCCCTTTGTCTTTTTTTGTTATTGTTCTGCTTCCCCATTGTTCTTCTCTTTTGAATGTTTTACTGTTTTTTAAATTTATCTTTTTAATTTTTTTATGATTGTAGGTTTTAATGCACTTGTCAAAAATACTATAGAGACCTCAAGTACCCTGATCCAGTTTCCCACAATGGTGACACCTTGAAAGATTGTAGTAAAAATCACAGCAAGAGCATTGACGTTGATAAAGTCAAGTTACATAACATGTTTCCATCACTATAAGGATCATTGTTATTGTCATTCTACAGCCACAACCATTCCCTCCCACTTCAGCTCTTAAACTCTAGCAACTACTAATTTGTTCTCAATTTCTATAATGTCATTTCAAGAATATTCTATAATGGAGTCATATGGTATGATATTTGGGTCTTTTCACTCAGCATAATTCTCTGGAGATTCATCCTGTTGTGTATACCAATAGTTGCTTCCTGTTAGTCACCAAGCAATAATTCACCAAATGGTGTACCACACTTTGTTTAACCATTCACACTTTTAAAGACATTCCTATTTTCAACTTTGTTGGTTTCCATTCTGACTTTAATATTGTACTGCTTGCTCTTTCTTCATTTCTAATATAATGCATTCAGTTCTGTAAATGTCTCTCCAAACACTGTTTTCACTATGTCCCACATATTTTCATTTCATTTTGTTCAAAATATTTTAAAATTTCCCTTAAGACTTATTTAGAAGTAAGTATATCTTTAAATTTCCAAATATTTGGGGTTTTACAAGTGTCTTTGTCTGACAGATTTCTGGCTTAATACTGTTATTGTACATAATATGATTTCTTACAATTTTGTTACAATTTGTTTAAAACCCAGAATGGGCTTATCTTGGTGAATGTTTCATATGTACTTGAAAAGAATGTGTATTTTGCTTTTGTTGGATACAGTTTTTTAATTAATGTCAATTAGATGGAGTTGGCTGATAGTGCTATTCACTTTATCTATATCCCTGTTGGTTTTCTGTCTACTTGTTCTATCAATTATTGACAGAAAGAGTGTTGAAGTCTCCAACAATAATTGTGGATTTGTCTGTTTCTCTTTCAGATGTATCCATTTTTGCCTCATGTATTTTGAAGTGCTGTTATTAGGTACATACGCTTTTAGGATTGTTATTTCTTCTTGGAGAACTGACCATTTTATCATTTTGTAATGTCGTTCTTTGTTCCAGAAAATCTTTCTTATTCTCAAGTCATTGTCTGAAATGAATGTAGTTATTCCAGCTTTCTTTTGGCAAGGATTCCCTTTACATTTTTTAAATTAATAGACTTTTTAACAGTTTTAGATTGACAGTAGAATAGAATAGCTAGTATCAAAATTTTCCTTATACCCCTCTCTTTCCCCCTCCGTGTTTTCCCTAGTAATAACATCTTAAATTTGTATAGTATACTTGTTACAATTTATTCATGAATGTTGATATATTATTAACTAAAGTCCATATTTTACATTAAGGTTTAATCTTTGAGTTTATTTTATGGATTTCAGCAAATGCATAAAAATCCACAATTAACATGTCATACAGAATAATTTTACTGCCTTAAAAATCCCCTGTGAATCCCCTTTCATCCTTTCTCACCTTCCGCCCAGCAAGCACTGCTCTTTTTGCTATCTCTGTAGTTTTGCCTTTCCCAGAATGTCATGTAGTTCAAATCAAACAATATAGCCTATTCAGACTGGCTTCTTTCAAACAGCAATATACATTTAAGTTTCCTCCATGTCTATCCATGGCTTAATAGTGCATTTCTTTTTATTGCTAAATAATATTCCATTGTATGGATGTACCACTTTGTTATTCCATTCACCTATGGGAGGACATCTGGCATCCTAGTTGCTTCCAGTTTGGGGCCATTATGAATAAAGCTGCTATAAACATCCATGCGTAGACTTTTCTGTGGACATAAGTTTTCAACTCATTGTGGTTCATTTCCTTTTGAAATTTATAATTTTGACCGTGAACTCCTTTTCCGTGAGAGTTCTTTTCCATAGAAATTCTGTGTACGGTAAGCTATAAAAGCATCACTGCAGAACTATTTAGATTGGGGGGTCTCACTGACTTCACTAATGCAGGACCAATTTTTAGGTAAATTTATCAAGTTTGGGTGTTTTAGATTATATTTCAAATGTGCATTTAGAATGTACTCCCACATACAAGACTAGGGTTCTGTTTTCTTAAGTAACTCCTGATTCTTTTTACCATTTTCATTATCTAATGAATGCCATCTTTTTAATTTCTATGTTACAAAAAGAGATGGTCTTTGTGACTTCCAGCTTTAAACTGATAGCTCAGTTTCCTGCACATTTGTACCCTATAGTCTGGAATTCACTCCACATTCATGATAAGAGCTTTAGTATCTCAACAACAAAGTCATACAAATTCAGTTTTTATCTACCCCCCCAAATTTAAAGTTCCTCTTCATTTTTGTCACATAATACATTTATTTTCTTGATTTAGAACTGGACTGCATATTACTTTTTTTTAACTTGGACTAGTATTTGTTTGCACTTGCAGTCAGGAAAGAAAAGGGTGGGCCATGGAGAGGATCCATCCACATCAATTTAATTCATGATAGGAATTCATCACAGGACATTTAGGGCTTAAATGTTCTAATATAGTAGAAAGACTTACAAGTTTGATGATTCATCATATCTTTTCCCTAGAAGTCTGGCAAGTCGATGGGTGGATAGATAACTACAAGGAAAGCCAAGACAACCCCCCGTGACAAGCTGCATTCAGAGACAAGGAAATACTGAAAGATGAAAGGGGCCACGAATGCAGAACATGCAGAAAAATCATATATCTGAGCACAGACTTTGTCTATATAAGACAAAGACTCCCTAAATATTATTCATGGAGAGGGCGTTCAACATAATTTAAACTCTCTTAGTTTTAAAACAACAAAAGCTATGTAAGAAAGATAATGGGTATTAGTCATATTGGAAATCATGCCTCCATTCTAATCTTGATAAAGCTAAACCTGCAGAGAAATTCTTTGAAACCAATCAACAACGAAAAACTCTCCACCATGAGGAAGCCTTTAATACAAGGTAGAAAATTCAAGCTGGGGAGAAACTAAATGTGGGAAAATATCCAGAAAACATTCCTTGTTGTGCATCAAAGAACTGACACTGGAGAGAAGCCTTATGAAAGCTGTGAATTTGCAAAAGCCTTCAGCTAAAAGTCAATCCTTGGAACAGAATTGAAAAGCCCTATGAATGCAGTGAAGGTGGGAAAACCTTTATCCAGAAGGCACCACTCATTAAACATTAGAAGATTCATACAGGGGAGAAACTTTAAAAGTATTAAATGTGGAAAATCTTTCAGTGTGAAATCAACTCATTGTATAACAGAACTTCAAGGGAGAGAAGTTCTGTGAATGCAGAGACTGTGGCAAGGCCTTCAGGGGAAAGATCTCTCATTAACCATCAAAGAAGTCATAGGAGATAAAATGTAAAACCCATGAATAAACCTTTAAGTGAGATGACTGTCCGTTAGTTACATGTTGTCATAGTGTGCATCCAACAATTCATTCAAAATAATTTTGTAAACCATGAATCAGCCTTCAAAAAATTGCTCAGCCTTCATTAGATTTAGGAAAATTTAATGTTATAATATTCAAAACATGGAATAAACATGATAAATTCTTCACTCAAGTTGTAATATAGTGTTCATCAAAGAACTTATAGAGGGTCAAAATCATGAATGTAGTAATTTATGAAGCCTTTGGAAAGTTTAATATTTTATATCAGCACTTTTATTCAGGAGGAGATTAAGTTGCAGAGCCGAGTTTTCCTAGATATTGTGAGGAAGATCATACCCCAGATATGGCATACATTTTCTAGAAAAGATCACAATTTTATTACATAAACAATTATAAACATTTTCTTTGCAGAATAGGTTATAAAGCTTTTAAAGGTATAAATGTACCAGAAGGACAGGAAAAACAGTCCTTGTTAGGTCAACCTACTAGATTAGCCTGTAATAGAGAACCAGAATAGTATGTTGCCATTAAGAATTTTGGAAATAAGATGCAAAATTGTGCTTCATGCTCTGTCTTGTAAAATGACAGAGCGTGCAACATTATGATTTCAGTGTCTCTGGGTTGGGATTTAGGCAAATTTTTTATTTATAAAATGACTTCCATTTAAATCTTTTGTTTTCATCTTCACATGTATCTATGTAGAGATATCCATAGGAAAAACATCTAGAAAGAAAAATATATCCTATTAAGAGTAGTTATATATGTACATTGGAATTACTGGGGGTTTTTTTTGTTGTTTGTTTTCTTCTGGTACTGGGATCACCCTTGGGACATTGCACTTGCTAAATCCCTGGCCTACAATTAACTGGATTTTAAATTTGATTATAATCTCCAGATTTTGCTCCCAGAAAATACCTATAAGAATTATTTAAAATACCTTTTGAACAGGTTTTTAATTTTTCTTTGTCTCTACCCACTTTTCTGTTCAGTTGTATTTTCAATGTATGACACTGTCCTACTTTCTATTCTGCACTGCTAATCACATTTTGACATCTGCATATTACTTTTCCTGTGATTGTTTGATGTCATTGTTAGAACATTTCATATACCTTTGAGAGTGGAAATCTTGTGATTTAGTATAGTGATTTTTCTAATGAAAATTAAAATATCTTCATATTTTCTTTTATACATCATCCTTCCCAAATCCTATGACCTAAGATACAAGCTACCAGATTTTACAGATAAGGAGCACTGAAGTGAGTCACTAATGGTCCCACGAGTAATAAGAACAAACATGCAAATCCAAACCCCTAGAAGCCTAATACAAACCATTTTTTGTTCTGATCCTGGTAATTGCTATTGACTACTCATTTTGTTCATCTTTTGTCCTTTTCTCTTTGTCACTACTCAAAATGCACTGTGGTTGTTAATCTTTTAATACTTTTTATGTAAGTAAAGACTTCATTTTATAAAAGCATTACATTGATGATTATCATGACAACATTATTAAGTATGGAGGAAAATGATAGTGTCACCTGCAACCACACACACATCCTCATATTTAATAGATATAGAAACAAAACCATAAGGAGCTTCTTTACTTAAAACTCAGAGATTGTAAGTAGTATAACAGTCATTACTTAGATTCACATTCCATGGTTCCTCCATGAATCCAATTTGTGTGCTCCTGTACAAGGTTCTTCAGACTTTACCCAATGGAAGAGAGGAGAGATCTATGTGGTTGCTTAATACCTTCTCATTTTTGTCTTGGATTTAAATGTTTAATAAATTAATGAGTAGACTTCTATAGCCATATATATTGTAGTTGGTTTTCCAGGCCAGCAATTATTCTGCAACAAATAGGGGATAGGGGAAGATACAGATACATAGAAAAAAATATTTTAAAACGTAACAGCTGTACAAACAATGAGGTCCAGAAGAGTTGAAATTCCAGAAAGTGAAGTGCCTGGTATACATGAGCTGACAATTGCTGTCCATTATCTTTTCTTGGAGGATTTATTGATTCTCAACGTTAGCTAAGAATGAGGTTTTGTCCAGGCTGATAGATTATACAAGAGGAAATAAATTCAGAAGAGATTTTGGAAGTTATATAGGGCTATCTTAGAAACTAAAGTGCTCCAAGCACATGACTTGTTTTGTGCACAGGATGTTTTCTAAGTTTGTGATGGTATTAGGATGTTAGGAGGGTGGGTGAGAAAAGCAAAGTGAAAGCTCCTGCAGTCGCACTGTGCTTTTGAAATGACCCCAGTAGAAGGGCCCCACCATGCTCATGGAGAAAGAGGCTAAAGAGTTCTCAGCTCAAACCTATGAAGAGGAAAGCAGTTTTCCAGGTCAGAGGAGACAGCCACCAGGTTCTCAAACAAAAGTACAGGAATAAAAATGAACCATGATTAACAAGAGCTGAGTTGTCTTAACACTGCATACTAGCCCTCATCCTTTAGAGGCGATCAGTTCCTAACTTTGTTAGGAAAAGTTAAACCCAGTCAGCTACAGCCTCTACACTTTTTTGTTTCTTTTTATTGAACAATCTAGGTATACAATACAATTACATTCATCATTGGGATTCTATACCTTTACATAATAAGTCTTGATTCTCATTTTTCCCCTTGTCCCTGCCCTCCCTTCACCCCCTCCTCCCCTCCCCATTTACAAACACTTTATTTCCATTTTTTCAGTTTCTCATATTTTTTCCTCTCCCTTATTACCTCTCCCCCACCCTTCCCACTTTCCTTACACCTTTAGCCCTTTACTTCCTATTTCACATTATTAATTGTCTCATTAGGATCCTGTGTACTATTATAGTTTTTCACACCAAAGAAACTATTCGGTATTTCAGTTAAAGAAATCTCTGTATGAACATTAAAAATAGGGAATCCTAAAATAAAACTAAAAAGGAAAGTAAAAGAGAAAAGGCAATGATGTAACATCAAAATAATCCTTAATTCTGGAGATGAAAATGGTCCCTGAACATATTTAAATTGCTTCTCGCTCTTATAGT